CTGAACTGCTGGTGAGTGAGAACTAAGCCTTCCAGCCGGATGGGGAACCTCACATCACAGCTCCCAACCATATTCTGGATCTTAAAGTCCAAGAACTTGGCAGGGAAGCCAAGCTTCTGCACCACCCGGGCATGCTTCCTGGCTGCCAGCCGAGACTGCTCTTCACTGGAGGAAGAGCAGAGTGGGGAGCAAGCAACTTTGGTTAGTGCTTTCCTCTGCCCTCAAGATGGAATTCAGTCTACAACCACCATGCTCATCTGTTCCAAAAAAAAAAGTGCCCAAAATAGCAAGCCTCTATCCCCAAAACTGCTCCAGGGAACTAAAAGGAGAAAGGCATTTGGTCATTCACTTTCCTGTGGCCTGTTTGAACACACTGGAGCATGTTGCATCACCCAGAAGTTCCCCTCTTCAAAGGTTTTTCTCAGTTCCTTAAAACAGCTGCTCAGTACTGATCCAAGAGTTAGACTATAGGCATGAGTACTACTGTCTACATGGGGGGCTGGGAGGGGTTAGAGATCTTCTAAGTGCAACCTGATGCATTATCTCATTGACAGTTTTGGGACATAAAACCAGTCCAGCTGCTGGACTTTAAGGAAGAGCTTCAAAGCACAGAAAACTTCACTTTTTCTCCAACTCTCATTTTCTCTAGAGGCAGATGTGTTGACTGGTGAACACAGACACCGAAGAGACTTGACAGACACAAGTTATGTCCTAACTCACTTGAAAGCCAGTGAGAAATGCAAATAATCCCTTAAGAATTCCTGGGCATTTTAGCAGCTTTTCTGCTGATGCCTGCTGAGCTCAATCTAAATTCAGGGACAGAAGCACAGTTCAGGATCACTAAGATGACATCATGAAGCAAATGAGACATTTTCAATATCAGTCCTTCACTTTTTCTTGCAGTTATGACAGCCCTTTGTTAGATATTTTAAACAAGATTTTCTGGCATTTTCCATCAGAATACAGGCACAGCTGCATGACCCAGACCTTTAGAAGGAAGGTAGAACCCAGAAAAATACCTTTTTGCTCCTGTGCAGACCATTTTTCCTGAACTGAAGATGAGGGCTGTTGTTCGTGGCTCCCTGATTCTCATGATCACAGCAGCAAATCTCTACAAATTCAAAGGAAGACTTCACAGTCCAGCTGAGGAATTTAGCTGGGGCTTTATTTCTGTTCAGCCTTTCAACAACTGACACTTTCAAAGCTAATCACGACATGCATTTACTTTGTAAAAGTGTTTCTTTACCACCCTGAAGTGATTTTCCACCCACCTAGGACCAGGGGAGTTAAGCCTATAGTCACAGAACACTAGGATCCATCAACACTGAGAAAGAGAAGTGAAGGTAAAGCTTTTAAGATTTACCTTTGGGTTATATTCTGCATTTCTGGCATGCAGAGCTATGTTCTTCAGATCTAGTTTACAAGCCAAGTTTACAGTTGACACAATATTCCTGAGGAAAGAGAGAGGAATTTTCTTACTGCAAAAGCCAATCCCTGCAGATCCAACCCCCAGCATTATTGGCTTAATGTGGAGCCACACTCCAATTAATAATTGCCATCAACTGATTTCCTGCATATCTATTTTCCACTCTAGCATTAAGCTAATTTTGGCAAAACTTCAGTAATTCAATACCAAAATTGCATTTTGAGTATAACAAGGTATGAAATTTAGTCCCTGGATCCTAAGGTTGTGTGTCTTCCAATAACTACATCACTCAAGTTTTTCACAGCTTTGAATTGAGCCACTACTGAGTGTCTGAGTTCCTACAGTGCTTAAGGTAGATCAGGATATGTTATTTTCTACAGGTATAGGCAACTCTATAGTTGCTGTAGCCTAACCAGGACAGGATCTTTCAGCAGAGGCAGAATGTCTCACACTTGTGCCTCTTTACTCTGGTCTGACTGTTCCTCCTCTCAGAAAAGCAGACTGACCCCTTTAAACCCCTGAAGGCTGCTGTCATCCTTAGCATTCTCCTTGCTGGAAGAAATCCTGTTCATTTATCTTCTGATTTTTGCCCAATACTGTCAGCTCATTTGCTCCACCTCTCCAAGAAGACTTAACTGCCCTGTAGATTTTTGCTGGACTTATTTAAGACCAAGCTTTGCAGTTTAAGTAAAACCATGCCTATGAGATATGCTACATATATTATACGTAAACTTACTGTAACTGAGGAACTATGCCAGAGCTTTCTGATGCAGATGTCACTGGGGTCATGGGAATCATTGAAGTCAGAGGAGTTGCATCTGGATGTGACAAGCTGCTTTCATCCATGAAGGTGCCACTGTCCTCCTTTCTTGACACTGACCCATCAAACTCATTTTGTGTTTCATGACCATCATCAGATAGATTTTGTTCTTTGTTATCCTGGGTAACATCTGGAAGAAAGCTGAGATCCACAGAGGAGAAGTCTGTATGAAGCTCTTTGGGCTGATTAAACTGAGAACCAAACAACACATCTTCGGCTGTTTGAATTGGAAGTTCTACATCATAAGGGCTCATGGCACTCAACAGATGAGGACTAGTTGAGAAGTCATCCTTAAATTAAGAAAAAGTGCCATTAAGCATCTTGCATTAAAACATTTTACTAGGAGACTAAATTAAGATTAATCTTCAATGAGGAACTATCAAACATTTTTACCCCCCTCTATACATTATAATAAAGAATAGTCTTTAGATTTCAAAATGCATCCTTTGCTTCTCCATCAGCATATAAAAATCCAGATGACTTCTAGAGTGGAGACAGGCATTTTCCCCACCATGTTTAAATAGCAGTAGAGAGTACTCCTGTGATGCCACAAATTGAGAAACATAGAGAAGTGCTAGACACCTTCAGCCGTGAAAGCAGGTACTGCACTGGCACTTGGCCCTTCCCAGCCATTGTCACACACACAACCAACGTAATTGCTCATGAGTTTTTCCAAGGAAGACAGCTGGCATTTTCTGGCTGCTTTTACCTCTCATTCCGTATATCATTGCCATTTCCTCTCCCTGCTAGCAGGGGACAGAGTCAGCATTGGATTTGTGCAACAGAGGGCAGCAACTCACAGAGCCAGCAGCACTTCGTCCCTTATCTGCCGCAGGTCAGCAGAGTGATTGAAGCGAGACAGTCAGCGGAACCAACATCCTGCCTTGCATCAAGCATAAGGCACACCTGCCAGCAGCTCTTGCATGCTGATGTCCTTCTTCATCAGCTATTTATTATTGAAAGCTACTTAAAAAGCATCGCAATGATCAGGCAAGAGTTTAGAAAAGGATTTATTCCCTGTTAGGGCATAAGCTTCTTCTCAGTGGAAAGCTTCTTCCAAGAAGGTGTTTTCTGCCAACACCCACAGCAGATGACAGCTTGGACTAAAGAATCCATACAAGAGGTTTAGTGTTTATTTAGGCATTTTTGGGCTCAAGAGCCAAAAGTCCAAGCACAAATCAGAACAGGGAACAGTGCACAAGACTGAGGCCCTCGAGTTGGCAGCAACTGCCTGAACTCCAGTGGGAGCAAAGTTTCCAGATCAATGCTTTCCAGCCCTTAGCTAGTGTTGCTCTATGCTAGGCAGCTCACTTGGCAACACAGCCATGCACACAGGGAGATCTGTGCTCCTGCTTTGCAGTGTATTTGCCTATAGACACTTGGAAAACTCCAACTAAGTGACAAACACTCCCCGAGAAGCCTAGAATACAGATGCAATCAGGTCTGGGTCAAACCACCACAAACACCTACACTCAAAATTACTTTTAGAACTGGGTTCTAGGTGCAGAGCCCCATATGAGATCAGGTGGGGCAGAGTGCAGCTCAATTAGCCTGGGGACTCCTTCACCCTTTGGAAAACAGAATCCACTGTCTGAGAATTAAAGTCAGATACAAATGTAGTAAGAGCTACAAATTACAATATACTATGGAATAACTTAAATACATCTGTTTTAAGTAGATATTTTTCAAGTTAGCAACAGGGGAAGGAAGGCACAGTTTCTGCAAGACTTTCAGTGGACTGAGAGCTGTGCAGGAGCTCATTGGGAAAGCTCTGTATGAACCATGATGCAGAGAAGATGGTACAAAAACACCTCATCACTGCAAGCCTGTGGGACTACCCACATCACACTAAGGGGCATCAGAGAATATGATAAATATGACAGTCCAAAAACTCAACCCACAGTTTGTGGCATAGCTTAAAGAAAGAAGGTGATGGAGAAGCAAGTGGTATATGAGGCTGGAAGTATTAGATAGCTGTAAAACAAGTTTAAAGAAAAATAGCAAAGTAAATGGCGTAGAGCAGGTAGAAATAGAAAGCAAATCTTTCTTCTTTATCTGGTTTCCATATAAGTTGTCTGAGGAAAAGCCCTTACAGGGTTAAGTGCTGGGGAATATTGCCTTCTTGTCAGACAGATGCTCAGGGGCTGTGAAAAGGGGCACAAGACCATGTTTGCATTGGGCTGGCTGCCAAGGGTTATTGCTATAGACTCCGGGTTAATTAACTTCACCGAAGGCCCCACTGACTGCATAGCTTTGGACATCTCCCAGCAGATCTGGGAAGGAGATTTCACACGTAGATCCTGTCTGAGATCACTCAGTTTGGGGCAGCTTGAGGGGAAACAGCCCTTTTCACTTCCACTGCAGAAACCCCTGAAACTCAGGTACATGTAAATCAATTCCAGCTGCTTCAACCAACAGACTTGGATTTTTTTTCCACTTCCATATCACACATCTGCTGTTATCAAGTGTCCCAGCCAGCCTGAAATATAAAAATCTCAGCAGCATTTGTAAAACTCTGATTATACCTCACCATATTATACACTTTGTGGGGCCACATTTAGAGAGCTCTACTGACTGCCACGGGGAGGTCTCTGGATTTAAACAGCCTGTGCTAAGCCTGAAAAGTAGTTTACAACAGGATGCACATAACAAAATTATGTTCCCTGAACAAAGATGATGCCCAGCTGTGGGGCACAGCCCTCTCTTAAGTCCCTCACCCTGTTACCTCTACAGCCACTTAAGACCACGAGGGTTATTCCCAATACTAAAACACTCTATTTTTACAGCCAGCACGAGAAGATCTGAGATTCTTACCCTCTCACCGTCCAGTACACACTGCCCAGAGGCTGAGCCCTGCAAGCAGTGCCCCATCACAAGAGTTTAAACACATCAGCATCGCTCCTGCAGCAGGTAAGAGCTACCTCCCTCTCCAGGGAGCCTCTCCACGCTCCCAGCAGTTCTGGGCCGGCCCAGGGCAGGGAAGAGCCCCGCGGGTGGAGGAAGTCCCTTAGCCAAATCCCAGCCAGAAGGAATCCAAGCAGGATTAAGCCCAGGCAGAACAAATCCAGGCAGGAACACATCAGCGATGACGCAGTTGAGCCGCGAGCGCAAAGTGTTATTCAGCGCGCTCCAGGGAGCCTCTCCACGCTCCCAGCAGTTCTGGGCCGGCCCAGGGCAGGGAAGAGCCCCGCGGGTGGAGGAAGTCCCTTAGCCAAATCCCAGCCAGAAGGAATCCAAGCAGGATTAAGCCCAGGCAGAACAAATCCAGGCAGGAACACATCAGCGATGACGCAGTTGAGCCGCGAGCGCAAAGTGTTATTCAGCGCGGCGTTGGTGGTATTGAGCATAGCGCGTTGGTGGTATAGTGGTGAGCATAGCTGCCTTCCAAGCAGTTGACCCGGGTTCGATTCCCGGCCAACGCAGTTGTCTTTTTCGTGTTTTTTTTTTAACCTTTTCCCTATCCCTTACCTGCTCGCTGCAGGTCTCCAGGAATCGCTCCAGCGGCGATATGCCGTCCATGGACACAGCCGCACACCCAGACCTCCCAGCATCACCCCGAGCCCGGCTTTTATACCCAGGGTGGGACCGAAGGGGCAGGTGTGGCTTGTCAGGGAGTACAGCCCATCACAGCTGGGAGTTTTGCACCATCAAACACCCCTGGAGCCTCTCACCTGCTCTAGTCCAAGAGAGTTTACCCCATCCTGCAGGACTAGAGAAATTGGGGTGCTTTTGTGTGCTTTGTACCCTACAAACTCCCCTGAGCCTGCTCCCCTCTGTGGGGCTGAAGGGAAATGGGGAGTTTGAGCCGTGGTTTAGACCTTGCAAAGATAATGCTTTTTAGTGAGCAAGTGTAAAGTGCCCTTAATTCCTCCCACCTGCCTCATCATCTGCAATGAGGCACATCTGGTCCTTGGAGAGGAGCCCCAGGTTAAACGTATAAACTTTCAACTTAAGGCATTGTGATGAAATGGCCTGTTCTCAGCTGAGCTGATGCTGCTTATGGGGAGGAAGCTTTTACTCCTTGCATTTGCTATCCTCCCCTCGCAGACATTGCCCTCTCTGGTGTCTGTTTCTGTCCCCTATAAGTGATGATTTAAGGCCATTCCCTTGTCCTACGTGTGGAGAGTCTGGGTGTGAGGCAGCATGTTCCCAGGAGGAAGTTTATGTTGTGCCTGGTGATTGATGCTGTGGGAGTCTCACACTGACGATGCAGCTTGGCTTGAGCTCTGTTGAGTCGTCGCTAGCAGCTGCTGTCTGACTCTTCCTTCACTCCTGTCCTGTCACTATGTGGTGATGGATGGATGGATTTCTGTGGAGGCACACCTGGGGACATATCCCTGTCCCTGTCTGGGCTGGTGGATGTGCTGATTGTCATGATCAATGCACCTGTGTTCCTCTGCTAGACAGGGCTTTGCTCTCTGCTGTGAAGTTTCCTTGCAAACAGCTACTTGAGCCCCAGAAACCCTTTGGAAGAAGATGTCAAAGCCCAGGCATGCAGCAGGTCTTTGGGAAGTGCTGCCAGGCTCTTTTCACTGCCCTGGGGGTGCAAAGGCTTAGATTAGTACCTTTTATCCATGGGGCAGATGAGATCCTTCCCTCTTCACCATCCTGCTGAGCTGGTTTGTGGTATTTCTGGGACTCACCTTCCAATTTAGAGGTGCCAAACCCTCCAGGCCCTGGAAAAAATCCAGCCTCAAGCAGGTTTATACCACAGAGTCCATCCTAGAGCACCCAGGAGGCAAGTTGAGCAGCAAAGCAAGGAGAGGACTCTCTGAGAGGTTGTACCTTGAATAATGGAGGCTGGTAGAGCCAGCTTGGACCAGTTTGGGATGGTTAAAACTAAACCAGCTTGTTTAGGGCTGGCAGGTGATTGTGGTGGTTGCAGTGTAGGTCTGCCTTGTCCATAGGAATAATTGAATACAAGGCAGGGATTGTGCTGAATTTTTTTTGTCCTTGCAGTGACTTCTCACAGGGTCAGGAGATTGGTGCTACCCCAGTGTGACACCATGGCTGTGCTTAAGTTGGGATGGTAGAACACTGTGGTGGTCATGGTGCTTCCCTGGTGTGGCCCTGCCTGTATCATTGCAGCTGTAGTGCTGTGAGTTTCCTCAACCAATTAATCCTTCACTGCACTGCAGAACCCTCTGGAGATATGTTCATCCTGCAGCCCCTTGGGACTGATTTGTCTGCATTTTGTGAACCTGACATGGAGAGGTCAAACCATGGTGTTTAACTGAGTGAAGCTACATCAGAGATGAATGTAAAGTACAAATCTCTTAATGTAGCTCCTTGCCTTGGATATGGGCATCCTGCAAATGGCAGGGAAGTGATGAGGTTTTGGGTGAGTCATGGAGTTTGGGGCCTCTTAGGGTAAATGGGTGTAGGATTGTTTAGCTCTCTGGAGGTGGGGAAGAAGGGAAGATGTTTAGCAATCATCTGAGGAGTCAAGAGTCACTCTGTGTGGGCAGTTCAAGCTCTCAGGGTTGCTCTGATGTAGGGGAAGGGTCCTTTGGGATGCTGCCCAAAGGAGGGGAAACATGGCTATGCCTCGGGAAGGCTCTGTGCTGACAGCCTCCACCTCCAGGCTGACAACTGCTCGTGGTGCCCAGCATGTGGGAGGCTCAGTGAGTTGGGTGTCCAGTGATGGGGAGCCCCAGTGAGTGAAGGTCCAGGTAGTGGGAGGTACAGAGAGTAACAATTCAGTGAGCAAGAGGCACCAAGTCCCTCTCTGTTTCCCAGTTTCTATATTTCTCCTTCTTAGTCATCAGAGGCATTATCCTCTCTCTGCTGTGATGTTCTTCCCTCCTCCTCCAGCAGGAGACTGACCCGTCATGAGTTGGACAGATGCTAGTTTGGGATGTAAGTTTAATATGTGAGACCTACGTGCTTGGCTTCTGATCATCCAGGTCAAATAACATTAGAAATGGCAACTATTTTTCCCATCCCAACTTAAAAAAAGATTATTTCTGTCTCAAGCTGCCTTTTTCCTCCCTCTTCCCCCCCTTTCCTCCTCTTTTTATTCCTCCTCTTTTCCCACTCTTTCTCCTTCTTTACCCCATTTTCCATTCCCCCTTTTTCCTTTCCTCTTCTTCCCTTCCCCCTTCCCCCTTCCCCTTCTTCCTTTCCCCCCTTTGCCCTTTCCCCCTTCCTTCATTTTCCTCCCCTTTTCCCCCCTTTTTTCCCCTCTTCCCCCCTTTCCCCTCCCTTTTCCCTCTCCTTTTTTTCCCCTTTCCCCCCCTTCTCTCTCCCTTTTTCCTCCCCAGTTTTTCTCCTCCCCCTTTTTTCCCCATTTCCCCCATCTCGGAGAGCAGCCTCTAGCCGTTTCCCCCCTTTGCCCTTTCCCCCTTCCTTCATTTTCCTCCCCTTTTCCCCCCTTTTTTCCCCTCTTCCCCCCTTTCCCCTCCCTTTTCCCTCTCCTTTTTTTCCCCTTTCCCCCCCTTCTCTCTCCCTTTTTCCTCCCCAGTTTTTCTCCTCCCCCTTTTTTCCCCATTTCCCCCATCTCGGAGAGCAGCCTCTAGCCGTATCCCGGCCGGATCATGGCAGG